GAAAAAACTTTGTGTAAAACTACTAGTAAAGAATGACTAATACTCGGATTTAATATATCTGTAAAGTATGCAAACTATTGTAGTTATTTTGGACAAATTTGTAAGTTCTTTTCAAGACATCACACATTAAGAACAATTACACACGGTTGTAAATTATTACAATTTAATGAAGTGATGAAAATATAATATTTTATGTACGTAATCTATAACATTTATATTATATCCTATATATATAAAATNATATATTAAATCTCTCTCTCTATATATATATATATCTTTCTCTATCTATCTATCTATCTGTCTATCTATCTCTTTCACTCATTCACTCTCACTCTCTCTACTTTTTCTTTCTCATCCCCCCTCTCTCACGTCTCTTTTTCTCCATTTCTATCTTGTATAGCTATTTACTCTTTTTCCTCATTACGGTTCTTATTTATATTTTGTACATAGATCTCTAATTCTACCGCACTTTTATTTCTATATCCATTACACTCTGTGCGTAAATTTCTTATTTTAAGTAGCATAAAAATAAGGGTATGTTTTGTATTGTGACAGGTCAAAATATTTCTACCCTGGATAATATTCCATTTTTCAAAGCGTACTTACAGTGCGTTGTAAAATTTTACGACAGTCCGTTTACGAAGGAGTTTTCGGCAGTTACGCTTTCCATATCTTCTGCATCAATGGGAAGAAAAAGCACCGGCCGATGTTCATTTTATGTTGTACCCATTGTTCGAAGGGACGTTTTCACGTTCTTGACATGATTTTTTTACGACCAAGTCGGCATGTTTAAAGAGTAGGCGTTAGGTAAATTTTTTCCTTATTTTTTTTACTTTCTAGCTATATCACGCTGTCTCTTCAGCAATGCACTGAAGCTTATTGTTTCAACCGTAACTGCCAGAAAGCGGCTCAAAGGAAATGGATTAGTCCGATAAAAACTGCTGCGAACAAGGGCCTGTCCTAAAAGCAATTAGGGAGCGACGAAAATAAGTCAGAAGACGCTGCCCTTTACAAAGGGCCACTGGCATTTCAACCAAATTACGATCTGACTTATAATTGTGTTCAATGTAAATACCGTTGTATGTAATGGCCGAGCTCGGAACAATTACCCACCTGCCACACGGTTGAATGTATTAGTTCAAAAGCAACAACATCTGTCTTATTCCTCAAAATATATTGCTCCTGAAAGTCAGTATGACACATTTGATTTAGTAAAAAAAGAATACTCATGAATAACCTGACTGGATTTTTAAATCAAAGCTTGTCATCTATTATATTTTCATAGATTACATCAGAAATAAAGTAAAAGCTGTGTAAAAATTAAAAAAAAACATTGTTTGTACAAAGCCAGATAGACGAATTTTCAATAGACAAGGAATAGTGTAGTTTACGGCAACAACGGGGATGTAACTCAGTGGTAGAGTGTCTGCTTCGCATGCTGAAAGTCCTGGGTTCAAATCCCAGCATCTCCAAATCTATTTTATAATTTTATGCATCATTTTGCTTTTATATAGTACAGAAAACAAAGAAAGACAAAAAGAAAAATTATTAACGAAAACAATAATTTACAAAATGTACTTAAAATAAATTGTAAGCAAGGGCGTAAGAAAGAGTTTAGTATTTCATTTAATTCATTTAGTTTAAATTGGTGTTACATAAACATACGACCAAAAATGATTATTCGGAGATCGTGAGATGCGGTCGGATGTGACGTAGGTTTTAGAAAAACATTTTCTTTAACGTGCCACCGTTTCGATCTTTATTGACATCATCTTCAGTGCCTGGGATTTATAAAGATTGTTTAAATTTTACAAATACACGTATGATGTGAAAAAATGAATTTCTAAAATGCTAGAATATTTTGCTTAAAAAGAGTGAATAGAAAATGTTAGAAAATTCTAGAAAATTTTAGATTAAAAAAATGAATTTATACCTAGAAAATTTTAGATTCTAGCATTGTATAAATTCATAATTTTTTGAAATCTAAAATTTTCTAGCATTGTATAAATACAATTATTTAATCTACAGTTTTCTAGCATTGTATAAATTCTTAATTTTTTTAAATCTAAAATTTTTAGCATTGTATAAATTAAATTTTTTTAATCTAAAATTTTCTAGCATTGTATAAATTCATAATGTTTTTAAATCTAAAATTTTCTAGCATTGTATAAATTCATATTTTTTAAATTTAAAATTTGCTAGCATTGTATAAAGTTATAATTTTTTGAAATTTAAAATTTTCTAGCATTGTATAAATTCTATTTTTTTAATCTAAAATTTTCTAGCATTGTATAAATTCATAATTTTTTAAATCTAAAATTTTCTAGCACTGTATAAATTCATATTTTTTTTAATCTAAAATTTGCTAGCATTGTATAAAGTTATAATTTTTTGAAATTTAAAATTTTCTAGTATTGTATAAATTCAATTTTTTTAAATCTAAAATTTTCTAGCATTGTATAAATTCATAATTTTTTAATCCTTTTTAAAAAGATAGTTCCTACTCACATTAAGTTCTTTTGCAACGATCCGGATTTCGAGCCTTTTAGCTCATCATCAGGTTGAAGGACTTCTACAACCTCGTCTCTCGACATGAATTGCCAAAGTGAACCGCTGATACCTCCGCCAACGCGGATTTACTGTGAGTAGGAACTATCTTTTTAAAAAGGATTGAACACCACACTCACTCCATCATTTATCATTTCTATTCATAATTTTTTCCACATCCTACATGTATTTGGAACAATTTAAACATAGTTTATAAATCCCCCCTATAACTGTTTTTATAAACAATACGTCACACCAGACTGCATCTCACGATTTCCGAAGAATAATTATTATTACAAACTTGATATTTTGATTGTAGAAGAAGTTTTTTTTTGGAAAACCATTGAACCCGGGGATGCCTGTTCGGGAAATGGCAACTTCGGGGATGTATCTCAGTGCTGGAATTTCTGCTTCTCATGCTGAAAACCCTGGGTTCAAATCCCACCACCTCCAATATTTATTTTGTAATTTTTTCGAAACTTTCTTAACTTTTGCTGTAATATTTTTTGTCTTTGTGATGATTAGTTTTTTACATTTTAACTGGTATAGCGTTTTGAATGGTGTATACCATAATGAGCAGTTAGTATATATATTTTGTAAAATTACGAAAATTTCAAGCAGTTAAGCTGCAATAAGACATGTAACAGTGTAAACCAAGCAGCTGATCGTTGGATTGACAGCTTTATCATTTCTATTTTATAGGCTAGCAAAAATTATCTCTGTTTTTAATCTAGTTATATAGCTTAGCAGACTCATGTCTAAAGACATAGAGACGGTTTTAAACGAAAGGAAGAAAATAAGGTGTATGGTGAAAAAGATGCTCGACGAGACGGCTGAAGAGATCCTTGGCCACGAGCCTGAAAAACGTCACCTGGCGATCAGGGTCGAGATTCTGCAGGCGCACGTCGAAAAACTGAAAGAATTTGACAAAATCGTGTACCACTGGCTCATCGCTAAGAATGTGGACACGGCGGTCGTTGAGGAGGAGCTGGAACGATGCGACGATTTCATGGCACGGTACCTTTTGGTGAAACATTCGTACGATTTGATGCAGGAATGGGATTATTTTAAGAAATAAAATCCAAACCTGACTAAAATTAAGACGTTCGAAAGCATTTTTGGTTTTCACGATTTGGTAGAACACAAGATCATACAAATTTGTAAAAAAGAATACCTTTAATAAAAACCGTTTGTCATTATAAAATCTAGAAGAATGTATGAAAAGTTGTACAATAGTGAAGCCAAACAAACAATACCGCTCCGATTTACTAAAACAAACCCGGTCCGCTTATCTTTGCTATACTGCCTTCAAACGATTTTCGGCTTAAAATTATCTACATATCCACGAGCTTTCACATTGGATGGAAACGTCCATAGAAGATAACACCCTGATAGCACGTTTTTGTTTTAAGTTGGCACAAAAACGCAAACTTTAACTTTAAAATCATCAGTATACAGTCTAATGATCAAAGCGAGAATAAACGGACGATATAAGTCAGCCGGTTATAAAATATATTAATGCCTCAATAATTGTAAAAATTTGACGACACATTTTGACGAGAAAAAATTATATACATATTATGTTCTCTCACGATTTTATGTCAATTGTCACAGACCTTCTGTAAACATGAATGATATTTGATAGCAAATTTGTCAGCTATTTTTGCCAAGTTTTTAGTGTTTTATTTCATCTTCCTCAGGGCTCTACAACAGATGCACAAATATTTTTTTAAAATTTACTCAGCTTTGTAAGTGAGAATCAACCATCAACTTATTTTCACAATGTATAGATTCTCAGTCAATATATAAACATTATTTTCTTTTATCGACGTGTATAAAATTTTTTGTCTCTTTCTTTACCACCCCTTATTTTTTAATTTTTAATATAATGGTTTTTTAAAATAAAGAAATAGCACTTTTTTGCATATTACTACCACACACTTATTGCATTATTTATTTGTTTATTAAAAAACCATTATAGTTAAGATTTTGTACTTTTTTGGACACTTTTTCTCTCTCACTATCTCTTTCCCTCTCTAAATTCTCCCTTCTCTCGCTCATCTCTCTCTCTCTCTTCTCTCTCTCTCTCTCTCTCTCTCTCTCTATATATATATATATATATATACGATAAGGCTTATATTTGAATATTGAATAGTTTATTAATGAAAATTAAATACAAATTAATTAATTTCAANTGTATCTCCCTTTATTTATCTAGATATCTATTTTCCTTTTTTATTTATTATTGTTTGAGGAATATTAGACTTGATTTTAATTAATTTGTATTTAATTTTCATTAATAAACTATTCAATATTCAAATATAAGTCTTATCATACAGTCAATACTTTGAGGTGTGTTCTCACTTTTTCCATTGCTTAATTGTGTATAGAAATAGACCATTGTCATGTTAACAATTCAATATATTACAAAATTTACATAATTTACAACATTATAACAGAATAAATTACGATATATTTAAGACAAACTAATAAATAATAAGCCTCCATTTTTGCTTCAAATCATAGGAGAATCAATCAGTAGTTAAAAGTTTATGGCCCCAATTTGATTTACTCGATCCTTGAACGTTTTCCAGCTTGACGCCCGTGTGCTTCAGCATGTGTATTTTCAGCCTGCAAGCCCTGCTGCACTGGTAGTCGCATTCGCTGCAGACAAACGGCTTTTTCCCCGTGTGGACCATCATGTGCTCTTTGAGGGTGCAGGCCTGAGCACAGCGGTACTCGCAGAGGGAACAGGAAAAAGGCTTTTCGCCCGTGTGGGTCCTCATGTGGCGTTTCAGCAGGCCTGCGTCTGTACCTCTGTAGCTGCATTCTTTACAGGCGTATGGCTTTTCGCCTGTGTGACGCCGCATGTGACGCTCGAGCCGGCTCGCGACGTCCGTGCTGTACGAGCAGGCTGCACATCCTGTCAAGAAAAATAGTAAAAATATTTCTGCCACAGTGCTGACTGGTATGGGCGCTTACCGAAAACCTTGTTTTTCCAGTCGGGCAGCACAACTTCCATTTCCGTCGGTTCTAACTGCATGCCCTGGCTCATGGGGGGTTTCTCATCGTATGGCAGTTGGTATATGGTTTCGACAAGGTCTACAGCACTACTCGTCATTTTATCAATATATCATAAAAAACTGCCTCAAATTAAAACCTGGAAACAAATGAAAAACATTATTTGGAAAACAATGAAAATCTCTCTTAAGTGAAAATTAAATCTACACTTGATCGGCAGGTTGGTCGCTTTTGGCCATTTTTTCTGAACAGTTTATGTTTTAACCTCTTACAATTGGTGGGTTTGATCTAACAGACAGAACAAAAGTGCAGACAAAACAACCAACTGCAGAATTATATGCCCGCACAGCTCAAGACTTAGAATCAGTTATACATAAAGAAACTCAATTTGAAATTAAGGAAAAACAAGAAATTAGAAACATTTAAATTGCACTTAAATTGTGTACCATTTTCTGCTAATTAGTAGAGGAAAAATTGCGAAAAGTCGCTAAACGTATTGCACCTTTTCACATAGTTCCTTAAGTTACTAATATTGACTCTCCCCTGACAGGTCCTGAGTCGACTTCTAGTTTAGCTCTTTTTGGAGAGAGACCACCAACTGGAGCATCTAGGTAACACGGTGGTTGTTACCAACCAACGGACTTAACCACGGTGTTCCGGCCATCTGACTCTAAAAACGCATTAAACGCCGACGTATCAAGAGCACACTAGATGGGTGGCCCTCAGAGGCCATCCTTATCCGATTAAGAATAGGCCATACAAGGTTGACTCATACTTTTGAGCCACAGCTTCAAGTATGTTTCCGGCATGTAGAAAATGGTGGCTCGATATATCTCATTTCAAAGGTGATATTCCTTGGCACCATATACAAGCAAGTAGGAATACCACCCGATATGATAATTGTGCTTGAGCAGTAATTGGGTCCCCTGTTCTAATTTTTAGAGTAAACAGGGCTATTTTATTACATAATTCTTTATATAATACCTAGTTTTGTTTTTTGTGTGTAAGTAGAAACTAAATTTATTAGCATGAACGTATTGTGTTAGAGGGCGGGGGAAGAATATTTATACATAGATCACATAGACCCATTTAGATTATTTATAGAATGTAATGGATGATAAGAGGGTCATCAAGCACTCCACAACTCTGAGTAAATGGCAAGTAAATAAGAAAGAATAGATTTTAAGAGAGAATGTGAACGGGTTTGGCTTCATCATATTTAGAAATTGGTTGGGTTTGAGACTAAAATGACCTAGCTGTTGACAGCCCTTGGTGCCCATCCTCAGTGGCACCATAACTTATAAAACTACAATCACTTTAGGATGAAACTTATCTTATTATTTTAGTTTAAAATGTGACAAATTGTAGTGTCTTTGTTGTGCTCATGTAAAAGGGGACGGAGGGCTAAAGTCAAATTTGGTGTTGGAAGTTTTGGATTATTCATTCGGTTTTAAAATTCCATATACTGAAATGTTCATTGTAATTAAAAAAATAATCAAGATGTACAGCAAAATAAATAATAAAAATTTATTATTAAACAATTTTAAGCAGATATTGCTTGTTAGTTGCTATTTGCTGAAATTGTTCAGTCAATTTTAATAAATTAATAATCCAGATTCAATGTGGTGGTTTGGTAGTATTAATACTGAAACTCGGTAACAGTTAACATACTTAAAATGTTTCATTATAAACTGCTATTAAACTGACATTAATTTTTATATTTTATTGATAATTATTGGCTTAAAATTTTTTTCTAAATATTTTTATAGTAAATGTGAGGTTATATTTTACTACATTTTTTTAATTATAATTTTCATGGTTTTCTATAACCTAATGGTGACCTGGTTGTTCAACATAAAAGGCAATTGTGTCGACGAATGTTTTTACTTATTTACATATTTTTACTTTTGGATCTATACCCAAAAATGATTAAACTCCTGGTCACATTTGGAGCCCTAGTATGGTGGTTAAATACTATGGATAAGAAGACCCAAAATCAACCTAAGAAATCCCAAGTATTGTTGTTTTTTATCATTTCAGGGACAATGCGTATTTGCCCAGTTTCAGCAATGCAAGTGGCACTGCGACTGATACAACTGCAACATACATATTTAGAGGATAGCAGCAGGAAATTGTAAACATATTATTAGGACGAAAGAAAATACATAACTTGACCTCAGATAAAGCCACTATAATATTCTTAAAAGGCTACAAATAAATGTGATAGTTACAAAAATGTCTGACAAATTGAACTGCAATACCATATTTTTCTCGTTTGACATTGTAATTTCATGAGGAGTGCCCTCAACTGCTGTCGAATTCCCAGCTTTTATCAATAGTTAAATATCATAGTATTGTTGAGGAGGTTCCATATCTGGCTTCAGTCACCTGTCTGGATTGTCAGGTTGGTGAATCAGGCTTGTTGGGATGTTAAAATATTTCGTGTGAAATGTGGAAAATTTATTGGGATTAGGTTTTTATCGAAGGGCATTTTAATGTCTTAACTAAGGGCGGTGTTGGGAGACGTAATAACCATGACGACGATGAGAAGAATTTGATTCTCTTTGTTTTTAAGAAGGTTTAGCGATGTCCCAACATGTTGGAAGGCCTGAACAACCTGCCCTGCTGCACTCCCACTCTCAGAGAGCAATATTCAGAGTTAGCTGATCCTTGACGTACACCGAAGAATCCTTTTATTAAGCAGGAGCAGAAAATAATATAAAATATAGACCTCCCAAATAAAAATAACAAAAGTGTTTAGAAGCATAAATGTAACATGGAGTGGGGAAAACACACATTTTGATGTGAAACACCTATACCAACAACATTAACTTTTCATGCTGAGATCTAAGTAATAGAACTCTGTGCACAATAAACACTTTAATAAGAATATTTTCTTAGATAGCCAAGCAGCACTGAAAGTTTTAGACGCATTCATTTTCAATTCAAAGCTGGTCTGGGTTGCCTAACATATGTCAAATTGATCTGCGTACCAGAAACGAGAGGGTAATAGACAATGAACCAACTAACAAAAAGCAAAACAAAAGCAGGCCTCACACCCTTTTTACGTAGAAAGGATTAGGCCTACAACCAAACTCCCGCTTGGTCCAGGGTTTGCCATTTGTTAAATGTTAGTAGTTACTAATTAGTCGTCGTTTGTCATTGGTTACGTACACATCGTTTCTCGTATTTCAATCGTCCTCTAATTGAGTTTTATTACCATTTATGTCTTGTGTGGTTATCGCAAAGGATCTGTTGGGTCCCCTCAGGAAGTGAAGAATGGAGCAACCAAGAGCCCATGGATAGAAGGTGAAGGGTATACATCCTCGAACTACCGTCCAACCACTTAATCCTGCCTACTTCCCCTCCTGTATCTCGCCCGAATCCACGGGTTGCCGAACAGGAGGACGAGGTGAGTCACTTAAAATTTGAATTTGATTTCAACATAGAATTGGATTGTCACATTGATACATCTAATGATATGTAATGATACCTATTTTTTGTAACCTGACTAATCGGTGAGGTCCATTTAGCTAAATAGTGAGACATATATATAAAGCAATAGTTCTTACTATTTATGATACAATGATGTGTTTCTTTATTTATTATAAAGTTGTAGTTCTGAAGAGGGACTAGGGAGGTAGCCCGAAATGCATTAACTAAAACAATACACGGCATAAATATAAATGTTGCGATTAGTTCAAAATATAAGCAATTTTCTAGATGTAAAACATTTTTACCACCAAATTATTTCAAATTATTCAAAAATAAAATTTAAAATAAACCTTAGTACATATATTCAAGAATCGCAGATCAAACTGTTTCTTACCAAGCAATTATTTCAGATATATTGACAAGTCATAAATTCATCAATCATTTGATATTTATATTGGCATATGTATTTTTTAGGTTTTGTTCAATTTAACTTTGTTATCCTATTATGTTGTTATTATTTGTTACACTAACTTTGTTATTTCCATTATTATTTGTAAGATATGAAAATCGTTTGATAAAATGACAATGTAAAACCCAGTTTTCCTGTGTAATAATTATTTAATTTTGTCATAAATATATCTACAACTAAACTACTGTTTTAAAATTGTCTCTATGGAAGTTGATGATAAAACCTAACAGGATTCTACAAAAATGAATTTAAACAGTGTGGTTACATCTTGTGAAAATAATATTAGGTGGTTGAGCTTGTAGGGTAGAAAGAAATTTTGTTTGTGTAAAATGTTTCCAAGCCAGCAAACCAGATCAAAGTTGTGCACATCTGTACAGGAATTTACACAATGTCCAACAGTTTGTTTACTATCATGAAACTTACCTTGAAATCACTCAGGTTGATTTTATACGTGTTCACCCCCCTGGGATCCGGTGTCTCTTCGCAGTTTTCAGAGAGTCGAGTAACCTGTTGTAATGCTGTGGAACTAGGTTTTTTATGGCTCATATGTTGTGCCACATGATTTAACCAGCTGCAACTGGCTATTTTCACATTGCCAAATATTCCTCTACTGGAGGACCTTTTGTTGCATCTAGTATACAATGAATGTAATTTGTACTGTTTTTTTTAGCATAAATAACCCAGGGTTGTTTCTTAAATAATTCGAGACATTTTTTTTTGTGCACAACATTTATTACATGATCTCACGAAGGAGAAAAATAAATAATTTATTTATATTATTTACAATTGTACGTTTCCTTTGGTTGAGTCGTAGGTTTCAGTTCAAATAAATTAAAAGTAAGTCTTTTTATGTCAACCAATCGTAAGGTCAGTATTTGTTGTCTAAGAGTCCTTTTTCTTTTTGGTTCGTTTGTTGTCGAATTGTCAATATTGTCCATTGTTGTTTCTTGTTTCATCCACAACTTTATTAAATTTCATAAAATTGCATTTTGTCGTAGGTATAGTCTGGTAGGGTTGTTACAGTAAGTTCAATGTCAACGAAGTCTGGTTTAGAGTCATGTAGTCGAGTACAAGGTCCTCTTTGGCCATTTTCTATTCTAAAGTCATAGTCAACTTCATTTAAATCTGGAAAAAACAAGTTCAGGTTAATTTAATTATTTTAGGTTTTCTTTGGTTTAATATTTACCACTTGTTATGCTTTGTATGGAACAGGTTGTGCTGTATACGATGAGTAAGCCAACTGGTGTGCCGTGGTCGACTGTTGCTTCGTGTCATAAAGTCTAGCATAGGGGCCAGGTGCTGGTTCCCAGCCTGGGTCATAGCTTGAAGTGGTCGGAGGACCGTACATCGGTACTGGCGGGGTAGCTGGCGGGTCCATTGGTGGTGGCATTGCAGCAGGTTGCATACTCATCTTGGCCATACCGAGTTTCTGGCAAAGCTACAAATACGATTGCAATTGTTTGAATAAAAGGTTTTTACGAAGATTTACGAGAATTTTATCTGATATACCTGGACAACCAGGAAGCCGACTACTAGAAGTATAGCCAGTTTAGATAGGACGAGTGCTTTTGTCGCTTTCAGACCAACAATTGCAAGAAGAATTGGAGTCAGAGCTTTAAGCTTCAGCTTCACCAGCATAAGCAGAGGGAACAACATCTTCTGCTTCATCATATCTCGGGCTGTTCAAACAGAAATAAAGTTTCTATAAAGTATATGTATTGAATTTACTTAATTTTAAAGTTTAACGACACATTTGAAAAGGTTAAAAAATTAAACTCAGTAAAGTGATTTAAAGTTTTGATTTTCTATAACCACACTATTTTACCTATTTGTATTTCGACTGTTTAAAAAAGATAATTGACAAAACAAAAGACCGATACCTGAAAATTAAAAGTCGGGAAATGTATCTGGCAGAAAAGGTTAATGATAGCCAGATTGAATCATCATAGTCAATCAGATATAAACTAACAAAATTTTTATTCCCGCATTTTATCATAATCAGCTAACCTAATTAGAACTGCATTAAGTCAAATCTTCAGACAGAAGCATACTAGATTAAGTATTAACGAAGAAGATATCACTTATTAGTCATGTTAATTAGGGTAAAACAATTTAAAACGATAATGAAGATTTAGCTTTGAGGCATGTTCCCCCAATCAATTTACTGAAAAATTTCTCTTTGGAGTATAAAAAATGGCTGTAATATTTTTCATCTCTTAAGGTTAAGTTAATTGGTAAAAAATGAAACAAACGTGGAATTTTGTCTTTTTCCACGCACTCAATCTAATCAGACAAATTAACATTCAGCTGATGGGCAGGGGTTAGGCTTGTCAGAACTTACAAACTCTTCAGCAGATAATTAGATTATACCGTTAAGCTTTTGTAAACAGATTAATTGGTCTCCTCCTTATCTAATACGTTGTGTTCAACATATTTTATTCAGAGGGAAAAACTTTGATATTGTTGGATCAAATCAATATTTTTTTAAAGCAGCTTCTTTGATTATTTGTATTTATAGAATGAAAATAGAGATTCAATATTTGCCACAACAAAATACAAATTCCAGTTGTATCAAAAATTCACCTTTTCAATTATCTTATATCCTTATCAATTATCTTCAATTATTTTATATTATAAAATTCACAAATTTTACATTTTGTGTTAGTTAACGTTTTTATCTTCCTTTGTTAAAGGCTCTGTTTTTGTATCCTTCAGATCATGACTTTTCCTATCCCAGGAGTACAAATATCTGCCTACATAGGCTTCTCCCCCCCCCCAAAAAAAAAAAAAAAATTGTTACACGCTTTCTTCTTCTTACTAACAATATCTGCTCAGGCTTGTTTCTGCTGGTCCGAATTTATACAATTTCCGCTGGAGTCGGCAGAGCCCTGTTCGCACTATTACTATCCTAGGTTTACTAAATGTGCTGTCAGTTTCTGTTGTGGTCCTTCAATGAACTTGTTGATCTGTGAACTATGTTTTCGGCAATTTGGTAAGCCGCAAAACGTTTCAGTGCCAACTTTCGAATTTTGTAAACAATTTATCAGCCTCCTCGTTACCACTTTGCCCAACGTGCCTTGTTACCAAATCAAGGGGAATTTTATGAACATTCCTAATGTTGACAGGGACTTCATGCAATTTCCAAATTTTCAATTTTCAAATACAATTTCGACGAGGAAATTTCGTGGAAGTCCTAGTAGAAGGCTGTATATTTTTTTGTAATACCCAGCCTATTGATCTCCTTAGCACAGTGATCGAAAACCACAGACTCATATGAATTCTACTTCTTGGATTATTTCTATATATACCATCACCTGACTCATACTAGATCTTAGACCAATATGGATAAGAGATATCGGCATTAACTGGAATCCCTTTGGTCCAGTCAGTTCTATTGGGTATTTGAATTTGATTATTTTTCTAATCTCTATTTTGGTATCATTACGACAACTGATATCCCCATAACATGTCCGCCTGAATTAGCTTTTTATGCGAGTAGGCTAATGGAGCCTGTCCGTATATTAACCAGCCAATTTTGGCTTCAGCCTAATAGCAAGTGAAAACTACAGTTGTAGCCCATATATTCAGCTCTGGATGTTCACCACATGATGAGACCTCAGACGGTCCGCGAAATGATAACGAGTACACCAAAGAAAATAATGGTCAATAACGAAGAAAACATGGACAAATGGAAAGAAAATAACACCATAGTGTGAGAATATCGGAAACTCATGGCTCCGAGGAACAACATACTGGATATATGAATTTAAACAAAACGTCCAGACACATCTAAGTATCAAAAAGGGAGAAGAAAAAAGTAACAAAAACGGTTCAAGGAGGATAATACCTAATACTTGACGGATATAGGACGCAAGAAGGCACATGTGCAAGAGTAGTTAACTCCAAAACTAAATATTCAGAGCCTATGGAGCATGTTTCAGTATCCAAAATTTATGCAATTGAGATATGTATTTAATTCAACTTAAACAAACGAGGATGTATTAAAAAACAGAATAAAAAGGAACAGGCTACCCAGATAGATCAAGAATGGTTCCGTGTTTTAAACGCAAATTAATCAGGTTCGGTGTGCAATATCAGGCTTTACTGGGGTCTTACGGCACTTGGGATAGAAAGAATGAAGAGGCATTTTTTTAATGAAAGGGGCTTTTACACTGCTGATAAGTCCTGAACCGTTTTGTGGGATAGGGATCCATACTATCAACGTAGACATACAGAATGTGAATAAACAATGGAACTCACTGACTGGGCACAATAAAAAAACCTCATGGCGAATTGGGAAAGAAAGAAGGAAACTTCAGATCATCAAAGGAAACAGGAAGAAATGCAGAATAACTGGATTCATGACTACGGACTAAATGGACACTTGAGAAAGATTAGCATCTACCAACACGTGCAGATTCTACAAAGAGTTAAGAAAGAGACTATAAACAGACTGTCCTGCTACACTTATCTGCAGATAAAAACGATTTGGGAGGTACAACGTAAACGTAGAACGAATGCACACTAAAACCGGGTCTAATAATCAAATTCTTTGATGAAGAAATTACATTCGTAGTGAATAATGAACTAAAATTAAAATAATTTTTCCTGAATTATTAATTTTGTGTGTATTTTGTACATTGATGGTGTTATTTTTTAATCTATCGTGCAAAATTATTCTTATTATTATAGTTGATTACGTATTAACCATTACAGTTATGGATTTATTATACAATTAGATACAACATAACGGCTAAGGTTTTTGGCTTTCCCCGTTAAATCTTGCCCTTTGTAGTAGATTCGGAGAGTTCTGCATCGCTGCACTCGGTCTTAGTAGAAATTGCTAATTAATTCCTTATTCAACACGTTTGTTTAACGATCTGCAAATGCGGCAATCCTTTGAAGAGCCGCGGCCTCGACATAACCATGATCGAAACGGATGTGCAATTAAATAAACGTTATCATATTGTTCCGTTTCGATTAGGGAAATTCAAAACACCATGGAAGAGTCGGGAGGAAACAAATAGTATTTGTCTAATGTAAGGGTAACATGTTTAGAACTTTTCAAAGGGAGGAAACTACATTTGAAAACAGACAGAGAAACAGGTTGGACGATTGTATTGTGTGAAGTTTTCAAAATATATTATACAAAAGTCTATTCTCATTAAGACAATTATTTAAAATTTTATTCCTTTTACGTCTTTGTTCATAAACCTTCTGTGAAAAAGCAGAAGATTGATATAATCCAACTATTCAAATAAGGAAAACAATTTTTTTCTCCTTATCGAAATATCTCCAGAAGTAAACGTAGATTTTTTTTGTTAACGGTTTACTAACAAAAATACGTATAAGAAAAGTTGTTTTTCTTTCTATTTATTACACTACCGATGTAGTCTTATTATCTAACAAATTTGAAGTCATCATCAGGTATTAGTTTTTTTTTCGTTCTTTTTTGAACTCGACGATGTAGAACTTTAGAACCCACATATTTTTAAATCTTTCAATCATTTAATCTTTATGTAAGGCATAGGTTGAGATAAAAAAGTCAGTGTCATGAGGGGGATTCGAACCCACAACCTTATCTCAACCAATGCCTTACATAAAGATTAATGTGTGTAGATTAGTGACCGTTAATCGATAATTATTCAGAAATCGTGAGATGCGGTCTGGTGTGATGTAGGTTCCAGAAAAAACATTTTCTTTATCGTGCCAACGTTTCGATCTTTATTGAGATCATCTTCAGGGCTCAAAGTGTTTGTCTTCTGTGTAATTTTGCCAATCTTGCGTGTCGTGTTGAGAGTGCCCTCAACACGACACGCAAAAATGGCACAATTACACAGAAGACAAACACTTTGAGCCCTGAAGATGATCTCAATAAAGATCGAAACGTTGGCACGATAAAGAAAATGTTTTTTTGTGGAACCTTCATCACACCAGACCGAATCTCACGATTTCTGAACAAATATAGATTAATTAAATAAAATATGTTATTTGGTCATTCGGACCACGAAATCTAGTGAATATTTTTAAATATTTATTTTGAATTTTTGTTATTTTTTACTATAAAGAAAAAAAATTGTTCTGTGCCAGAGCACACGGGCCAGCGGGGCGACGAAGTGGCCAGTAATTTTCCCAAAAAATCAGGATGCCTGTCGGCCCTGAAACCTTCTACGGCATGCCAAGTTGTCAAAAACGTAGAGCTATCACACAATGGGTTAAGAATAAGTTCTCAATTCAATGGGATTGATTGTATTCCAGGATACAGGCATTCCAAAATGTTTGTTAACGGGCCAACTGCAAACTACTAAACCTTGAATGTGTCGAAATTAGAATGATAAAAGTGCTGACTAGACACTACACTCCGGAGACATACTTATAGGTTCGGAGCAACAAAAACAAGCCCGTGCAGTTATTACAATGAAGAAGGACAATAGCGGAACATGTATGTTGGTATGTAGGTCTATAAAAGCTCAAACTCCTACTCCTGGAAAAGGATAAGTCTAGGCCTGAAGATATACACGACAGTCCTTGACACAGCTTTGGGTTCTTATAAAAAAATGGAAATACTTAAAAAAGTCTTATGCCTCGTTTCCATGGGGTTTGACAACGAATGCGTGCCACGCATTCCTTCTTGCTGTCATGAGTCCGCCGAGAGCGATCTCGTCAGCCGTAGAAGTGCATCGATCAAAAAAGTTCCAACGGGCACGTGAATGAGTTTACCGGGGTTGCCGACATGAACGAACTTCGTTGAAAGTTGTGAAGTGTTGAGTTCTGTGGTATTTTAGTACAAAAATTGAACAATGTGAATTTCTCAAATTGTAAAATAATTTATTTTGATCCAAATTCCTGAAAATTGTGTGCATCAGTGTTTCTTCCAGCCTCTGTTCATCACAATGATCTTTCTACTCTTCCATGCTTGCATCGTACAACAATCATTCTCCAGCATAGAACTCAAGAAAATGCAGAGTTTCATTGTCAACCAAACGCGACTCTTCGTTGGCAACATGTTGGACGGATGGAAAATAGACCAGGCAGAAGCACTGTCGTGACTGAAAATCAAACTATTTTGATTGGTGGCGGGGACGTTCACGCTTACGGTGTCGTGAGAAGCAAATTCACGTTGCTTTGATCTCACATGGCGTATTTCCCGACATCGTTAGCCACGCTTGGTGTAAACGGGGCTTTACGATTAAATGATAACACTGAGCGAAAATAAAAATAAGAGCAATTTATATTCGTTTAAAAATTGGATATCCCAGAAAAAACGAGAATAGACGGACTATCAAAAATTTAAAACTCAATAAATTTTTAAAATATTTTTTACTATTGTGTAAATTTGATTTCAATAAATTTGATTGATGAGTCTGTAAATTGTTCGTAATCTGTCATCCTAAATTCAGTGCATTGGTCTGTTTTGGCTTCTTGGCATCTTCAGTGGAGGATCTGGGTGATTTTATTTAAGTCGATTCTCTTTATAAGGGCGTGAGGGGGAGGAGTGAGTTTGCCGCGATGTCTTCGTTTTTTGGTGCCTTTGTTGGATTAAGTTTGAAGTGAGTCGCGGTTTTTAAGTTTGATATTCATTTTGGTTCCTTGACGATCGTGTATACGCTTGGGGGGGGGAGGTAGCCGAGTGGTTAAGGCGTCAGACTCTCGGCTAGTAGATCCCGCAGTTGTGTGTTCGATCCCAACCGTTACCTCTGGACTTTTTTCTGGTGGCTAAGGGGACTGGTGGCCGCAATTGAAAGAAATTGACACTGCACTCATCAATGGAAGGGACGTGATCAGATCTCAGTGACTCTGAATTTAGTCCCAACTTACTTCAAACATGAGTTTCTTCGGTTCTCGGCACACCGAGGGCTCAAATTCACACTCGTCCCCCAAAAATGAAGCCAGGGATAAAGTACAATAAGCTGAACAGTTGCAGTGCTCAGGGGGAACTCTTCCATTGTCTTTATTTTTCACCCCGTCTGCCTGATGTATTTATCTCCGCACTACTTACTAGAAAAGTAGATCATGACTCAGGATTTATATTATATTGTATAATTTATAATTTAAAGTTTGTGGTTTAGCAACAATTTTTCACCCTTCGACTGAAAGTAACGCCAGCATGTTTTATCTCGTGTCTGTATTTTTTAACATTTAAAACAAATTACTATCGAATATTTCCAATCACTGATCTTAAATGAGATTTAATTGGAAAAGCAATGTGAAAATAAATAAAATAAAAATATTGATAAAATAAATAAAGAACAATAAATATNGATAAATCTATTTAAATAAATCTCGTGTAAATCTTACTTCAATACTAAAAAGTTCTGTACTAAATAAAAAAATTGGACAAGGCAAATAATAATTATTTTAAGTGTTATATATACCACGCTCACAAATATTCTAGATCACATAGTAGGGTCTTGATGAAAAATCAAAATCAAGTAATGGCAGTAAAAATAAAATTTGCTTTTTTATCAACACCATATCGAGATCCAGATTATTCGTCAGTAAAATATCACAAGAGCCTGTTCGATTGTTGTTATACTAAAGTTTTTGTTTTCGTTGCGTTTTGAAATTATCATATTGCTATATGTAATTATATTTACTATCTGCACCGCAATATTGATTTTTCGTCAACTGTACCTGAGATTATATTACAATAAAATGCCATTAATTTGTATTAATTGTTATAATCGTTCATCAGTAATTCAGGATTATTAGTTGATGTTTTAAAAATAAGTACATAAAATCTATTAATTCGGTAAAGCAACGGTTTTTAAATTATTTGCACCGATAGATGAATTTTTATAAACAATTTAGGAATTTGTACAATATTGTTGCTGTTTTTGATAATTTTTGCCTGCCAGATGCGTTTTGGCCTCTTGCCCCCTTCAATGGAGGTGTTTTGTCTGTTCTTTGTTATGATAAATATTTAATGAAAATACCATTCTCAAACTCACCACTGAAGATAACGAAATGCCTTTTTGGTCTGGCAGATTTGTTTTAACATTTGGCAATTATTAGAGGTAGATCAGTGTGAGTGCCTTGCCATTCTTATTAATCCTAAAGAAAGCGAGAAGACAAAATCTGTACAAGCGCAAATCTTAAGAAGTGATCGCACAGATTAAGAAGCAATGGTAACCACAGCAGTTTTGAAACAAAAAGAAACGAATAATTTGAATTTACCTTGCCTAGGAACAACTTCATTTTCACCGTCAGGAAATTCGACAGAAAAGTCGAGCCCCCTGTTCGGCCTGAAGAGCAACGTCGCTCCTTGGAAAACCTCCGACAGCTCCAACCTGAAGACGTTCGATTTTGCGATTTCCTTCAGTCTTCTCATAATCAAAGCCCCCTGGTCTTCTCCTTCGATGGCTGCCCTCGGTGTGCCGATGTAATCTAAAACCTGACAAATAACTTGATGAGTTTTCATAACCGACAGACGGGGTAAATTTAAAGAACCTTCGTCCTCAGGCAGTCTTCAGTCGAACTGGACCCGAGACATTTGTCTATGGCCGAGGACAGCATCGCGTCCATGGACCCTTGAGCGATGGCCCAGCAACCGATGAGGACTAGAACGTGGCGCATTGCTGACTACTGATAGTGAAACGTCCACTTTAGCTTATATATGACCCTGGGGAGGGATGGATTTGTATGCGGCACCTAAGTCGCCCGAGTGAAACAGCCCCACTTCTGACGGTCTATTCTAAGCGGATAAGAAAGCAAACCCAGGGATTAAAAATTTTGGCGTTAGTTATTACTATAACATTTTTTCTTTTTTAACCGTTTATTGTCTGAATTGTTTTCGAGATGGTACCAAAAAAATGAAGAACAACATTGTTTATAAATTGTAGTCTGCCGTAAATATTGTTGTATTATATTGTCTATATTATTTATTACAATATATTATATTGTCTATATTATTTATTATTATTGTATTATATTATATTGTTGTATTATTGTTATTATATTTTGTCTCATGTAAATTATTCTAAGGGGACACCAGTCCCAGAATAAAGTTATTTTTCTTCTTCTTGTAAATATTTAAATATTGTTAAAAATGTCACATTTGGACTTTATTAATTTAATAGGTCTTTTCATTTGCATAAAGTTTTGTTTAGTTGTAATTTATTGTTTGAACAGTCGACAAGTTGATCGAAAATACTTAATTTATGTTTTACAAACATTTACTCTAATAGAGAACTTCATCCTAATAAAGAAGTTTGGCGAAGATTAAACGTAACCTAATAATATGTTGTAAAGTTTTCAAGGCCTACTATAAACACAATTCCTATTAAAAAAATATTCCACACATAAACGTAAATAAATTTGATGTACTTATGCTTTGATTAAGTAAAACATGCACTCTACCTTTAATCAGCGGTAAAACATCATTATTTTAAGTCCTCATACATACACAAATTTAATGACAACTATCTTTGGATTTGCTTTCTTAATGTAGACATATTTTGAAAAAAAAAACTTCAAAATAAATCTTAATTCGTTGTCTACTGAAACCCTTTTGGGAAAAATGGAAGAAAGGACGGTCTTTAATGAATGTAAGCAGCCCGTCAAGTCGCATAACAAAAGGTTTGCTCATAATTTGGCTTTCCTTGAAGTACGAAAATGATGTAAAGCCCGAGATGGTTCCTATATAACAAACCAATTAATCCTATCGTTTTATGATCATGCTATTAATAGAACGCTTTGATCGACCGGAATGAGGTATTGTTTGACTGCCAAATTTTTATGAAATGTAAGGGTTCGTTTCGCTCCTCTGTATGCCTGATGATCTGGCAACCGTTAAATACAAATTTGGCACATTTAATTCTCAAAATAATTGAAACTTTAATGACATATTTTACTTATAAAATGTAAAAATCATCACCAAAATTAACTAAAATATGCAGGGAGTAAAAATAAATAAATATTTTTAGGAATTAAATTTTTACCTTTTACATTTTTCCTTCAGTATTGGGTGGCTTTTCAAATTTCATTTTTTTGAAAAAGTGGATTTGCATCGACTTTCTGTTATTACTCACATTCTGTATCAACATTGAAAACACAAGCTCGTGACACTGAATATTTTATCTCAACTAAAAACCTTAATTAATTGAATGATATTAATTGGTCAAGCGGACCACGAAAAATAGTGAATTTAACGAATTAAAATGAAGTATACTTCACTGAAGCTCTCCGTGGCCATTTCATTTGTTGCCGAGAATCAAATAGATTACACGACATTTGAAAAATGGCAAAAAAGAGGGAAAATTCAAATAGGTGGGGTTGAGATGGGAAGTTAGTGCCCGAGTGGACCGAAGTCACGATAGCTCAAGTGGTAGAGTAGCGGCGTATCAAGCCGAAGGTCGTGGGTTCGAATCCCGCTCGTGACATTACAAGACATAATTTTTGTCTTTCAATCATCCAAATGGATGGAAATAACAGTAATATTTATATGGGTCTCCTTGTCACTGCAACATCGCAGGTAATGAACAGGCTGATCTGGCAGCAAAACGAGCAATTAGACTGATAGCGTATGAGGATTTTGCCAAAGATATTGGCATTACGGGAAATAAGATGGCAAAATACTTTGGACAATAAGCTATACGAAATAAAAAACAATGTAAGTCGTATAATAATGTAAGACTTAGAAAATCGAAGAAGGAAAAAGTCCTGCAAGAATTAGAATAGGCCACACACCTAACACATGGGCACTTGATTTGCCAGGATCCTCCCTCTATATGTATCACCTACGTATAATCAAACATATATTTACCTCATGTATTTTATACAAGGCGATTATGGAAAATTTGTGTTTTGTTAAGGATTTTAAAAAGGGAGCGTAACGCGTTTTTCTACAACGATCGCAATGCGTTTGGGAAAATAATAAAAAAAACGCGATTTTCCCTACTCAACATTGAGCAGAAAATGATACATTGAGCATGTTTATTCAGAAATCGTGAGATGCGGTCTGGTGTGATGTATGTTTTATAAAACCATTTTCTTTATCGTGCTAACGTTTCGATCTTTACTGAGATCATCTTTAGGGCTCAAAGTGTTTGTTTTCTGCGTAATTGTGCCATTCGTCACTATCGAAACGTTGGCACGATAAAGAAAATGTTTTTCTAAAACACGATTTCCGAATAATCATCGACTAACGGTCACTAATCATCACACATTTGAGCATATTAACATACCGATAACGTTAGAAAAAAATCAAAAGGAGTTGAGAGTTTCATGCAGATTTTAATCACCACGAACCGTCAAATCGTCATAGACGTGCTGAAAGAAATTCAGGCTGAATCAACATTCAAGATGAGTTAGCATTGGTCCTGAAAAAGGTGTTAGATGACGATAAACCAATGGAAAGATTGTTTAACTTCTTATTTTGATATAATTAAGTTCGCACAAGTAAAAAATGTTTGGTTAAATTCGGCAGACGCATTTTATATCCATCTAATCCTTTTGTCAAATATTTGTTTGTTAATATATACACATTTATCAATAACTAGTATGGCTATCTAATATAATGTCTCGTTTCTCAAATTCTTCCCTTCTTCAGTTAATTTCGGATTATACATGATAAAAAAATTGTCCATATAATCCCCTTAGCGATGGAATTTCAAAAATCTTTTTTTAAAGGCTAACCATGTCATTATAAGAATACATTATTGAAATTTCAACCGTTTAGATCCAGATGTTTGGTCTGTGGGTTGTCTCAATCAGTCAGGGAACTGTTTTATATAGGGATGAATTTCAACAAAATTCTTTCTTAGCGGCTATCCTTGTCATTATAGGAATGGCTGTCGAAAACAAATTTGATTATTTGTAGGATTATAGTAGCCATTCAGATCCAGCGGTTTGGTCTGTGCGTTGTCTGTCAATCAGTGACCGAACTGGTTTATATATATATCCTTGGCAGTGTTGGACCTAAGTCTATGTTCAAAGAAATTTGAAACCACCTATTAAAACTTTAATTGTATAAATTTGTAGAAATATTTAAGATTGATTGGCTCCGATGATAACCTAAAAATAGGTCGAAAGTTTGACAGATAATTGATTTTTTTTTTCTTTCGTCCATTTAGCCATACATAGATCACGATTATTTGTGAGTAAAAAAGTGGTCAATACATCTATCACCTTAATTAAAAATTTGCATAATTAATTATTGCTGTGGTAGCTAATTATTTATAAAGTTACAAAGAAGTATATAACCATTGGGATTAATTATTCTTTTCATTTAAGTTTTTTCGTGAGATGAAAAATTAGTGTCATGAGCAGGATTAATTATGGCCATTAAACAAACATGAAGTATATATCATTCAACATACAAATCAAACTTGATTATTTTTAGGATTGTTTAAGTTCTCGAAACACAGCTGGACTTCATTAGAACTTCATTGCAAATTAGCTGTTGCAGTTATGTTTAGTAGTGTAAATTAGTTAATTATCTGGTGTACGAGTCGTCTCAGCAAGACTTGGCGGAACTTTCGTTTGATCAAATCTGCAGGTTCGATCGGCTCTCCCGCCCCGCCGATTAACAAGACCGAATGGGAACAAAAGGCCCAAACCCAGGGGCTTAATACCTTCGAAGTGGCATGATGCCGATGAAACGCTTTTATCCTTTTCGTCTTTTTTCAAGTGAAACCGCACGGATTCCAACTTAAGAACTTCTGAGAACGGTGGGCGAACAATGATGATTAAATATAGTAATTTTACAGAAGGAACATTTTTCTGCATTCTTTTTAAAAATATTTATGCTCCTACATAGTACACCCGGCGGACTTTTATAATGCAAATTCTCTTGGCTTCTTTTCATTCCTCCTGATTTCTGAATACTTTATACTATTCAAATAATTTTCTTACAAACATTAAAATGTTTAAAACTCCCGTTTTTACGTTAGAAAAACAATCTGTTATAATTTTCATAAAATCTCTACATGCTTGTGATTAAGTTGGTAAGACTAATGTATAAATGGGAATTGAAACAGAATACCGTACCGTGATTTTTGTTCATGTAAAACAATAACTTGGTATATATATATATTTACGCTCTGCTCTGCACTTGCTTGTAGACTCACACGTGTACAGAGCTTAATCTTCGCACAATCCGACGATAATTCCGGCTTTTGTGTAATTTACAATAAATTACCGGCAGAATCACCCTCCCCGTGTGTTGGCATTTCGGGGTCAGACCTCGGTCATATCTGTCCAGCTACTGAGGTTTGGTTCTGGTGTATATCAACAGCTGATGTAAACCCTGACGGAAACAATCTCTAGCTTCAATTACACTCTCACTCACTATTAAATACATTCTGTCCTAATTTACATATTATCCATGCCACCAATTTACATTCAGTTAGGGTGGCCGAGTTCTTGATATTTCTCCATCATCCTCTACACATAATATATAAATAATGTAATTGAGGGACGATAATGGATTCAGCCATCGCTTCTCTCGCACTATACATTCACGCAAGAAATACATTAATTTTGAACATACATAAACATACATAAGACGAGATAATCTATAAAGTTTTATGTTCAGTTTCCTGTAAAAATAGGAACAGGGGACCCAAATACTCGCTGCCTGCTCTAGCTCA